GGTGACGGAGCAGATCAGGATGTTGGGCTCCTCGTCCTCCACCGGGTGCTTGGGGAACACGGCCACTTCCGGGGGCTCTGGGGGCCGGGATCGGGAAAAGGTGGGATTTGGGGTGGGGTGGTCGGGAATTGGGTTGGAACCAACTGGGGTTGGGTTGGATCCAACTGGGATTGGGTTTGAGGGACACCAAATTTTGGGATTCCACCAGGAACCTTCTGGAACTGGGGTTGGATTTTTGGGTTGAAATCCCCTGGAATTGGGTTGGATCCAACTGGAATTGGGTTCGATCCAACTGGGATTGGGTTGGATCCAACTGGGATTGGGTTCGATCCAACTGGGATTGGGTTCGATCCAACTGGGATTGGGTTGGAACCAGTTGGATTAAGTTAGATGCAACTGGGATTGGGTTTGAGGGACACCAAAGTTTGGGATTCCACCAGGAACCTTCTGGAATTGGGGTTGGATTTTTGGGTTGAAATCCCCTGAAATTGGGTCGGATCCATCTAGGATTGGGTTGGATCCAACTGGGGTTGGATTGGAACCAGTTGGGTTGAGTTGGAACCAACTGGGATTGGGTTGGAACCAGTTGGATTAAGTTAGATCCAACTGGGGTTGGGTTTGAGGGACACCAAAGTTTGGAATTCCACCTGGAACCTTCTGGAATTGGGGTTGGATTTTTGGGTTGGAATCTCCTGGAATTGGGTCGGATCCAACTGGGATTGGGTTGGAACCAGTTGGGTTCAGTTGGATCCAACTGGGATTGGGTTTGAGGGACACCAAAGTTTGGGATTCCACCAGGAACCTTCTGGAATTGGGGTTGGATTTTTGGGTTTGAATCCCCTGAAATTGGGTCGGATCCATCTAGGATTGGGTTGGATCCATGTTTCATTGGGTTGGATCAAGTTTGGATTGGGTTTGAGGGACACCAAAATTTGGGATTCCACCAGGAACCTTCTGGAATTGGGGTTGGATTTTTGGGTTGAAATCCCCCGAAATTGGGTCGGATCCAACTGGGATTGGGCTGGAGGAACCCCCGAGGCCGGAACTGGGTTGGAATCCCCCGGGATCGGGCGGGGCCCGGCCGGGATCGGCGTCTCCAGGACGCCGCGCGTCACCGGCGCCCCGTTGCGCAGCCACGTCACCCCCAGCGCCGCCGGCCAGAACTTGGTGACGGAGCAGATCAGGATGTTGGGCTCCTCGTCCTCCACCGGGTGCTTGGGGAACACGGCCACTTCCGGGGGCTCTGGGGGCCGGGAATCGGGAAAAGGTGGGATTTGGGGTGGGGTGGTCGGGAATTGGGTTGGAACCAACTGGGGTTGGGTTTGAGGGACACCAAAGTTTGGGATTCCACCAGGAACCTTCTGGAATTGGGTTGAAATCCTCTAGATTTGGGGTTGGATCCAACTGGGATTGGGTCGGATCCAACTGGGATTGGGTTTGAGGGACACCAAAATTTGGGATTCCACCAGGATCCTTCTGGAATTGAGGTTGGATTTTTGGGTTGAAATCCCCTGAAATTGGGTCGGATCCAACTGGGATTGGGTTGGAACCAACTGGGATTGGGTTTGAGGGACACCAAAGTTTGGGATTCCACCAGGAACCTTCTGGAATTTGGTTTAAATTCCCTGGAATTGGGTCGGATCCAACTGGGATTGGGTTGGATCAAGTTTGGATTGGGTTTGAGGGACACCAAAGTTCGGGATTCCACCAGGAACCTTCTGGAATTGGGGTCGGATGTTTGGGTTGAAATCTCCTGGAATTGGGTCGGATCCAACTGGGATTGGGTTGGAACCAACTGGGTTGAGTTGGATCCAACTGGGATTGGGTTTGAGGGACACCAAAGTTTGGGATTCCACCAGGAACCTTCTGGAATTGGGGTCGGATTTTTGGGTTGAAATCCCCCGAAATTGGGTCAGATCCAACTGGGATTGGGCTGGAGGAACCCCCGAGGCCGGAACTGGGTTGGAATCCCCCGGGATCGGGCGGGGCCCGGCCGGGATCGGCGTCTCCAGGACGCCGCGCGTCACCGGCGCCCCGTTGCGCAGCCACGTCACCCCCAGCGCCGCCGGCCAGAACTTGGTGACGGAGCAGATCAGGATGTTGGGCTCCTCGTCCTCCACCGGGTGCTTGGGGAACACGGCCACTTCCGGGGGCTCTGGGGGCCGGGAATCGGGAAAAGGTGGGATTTGGGGTGGGGTGGTCGGGAATTGGGTTGGAACCAACTGGGGTTGGGTTTGAGGGACACCAAAGTTTGGGATTCCACCAGGAACCTTCTGGAATTGCCGTTGGATGTTTGGGTTGAAATCCCTTGGAATTGGGTCGGATCCAACTGGGATTGGGTTGGAACCCACTGGGATTGGGTTGGAACCAACTGGGTTGAGGTGGATCCAACTGGGATTGGGTTTGAGGGACACCAAAGTTTGGGATTCCACCAGGAACCTTCTGGAATTGCCGTTGGATGTTTGGGTTGAAATCCCCTGAAATTGGGTTGGATCCAACTGGGGTTGGGTTGGATCCATCTTTCATTGAGTTAGATCCAACTGGGGTTGGGTTTGAGGGACACCAAATTTTGGGATTCCACCAGGAACCTTCTGGAACTGGGGTTGGATTTTTGGGTTTGAATGCCCTGAAATTGGGTCGGATCCAACTGGGATTGGGTTGGAACCATCTTTCATTGGGTTGGATCAAGTTTTGATTGGGTTTGAGGGACACCAAAGTTTGGAATTCCACCAGGAACCTTCTGGAATTGCCGTTGGATGTTTGGGTTGAAATCCCCTGAAATTGGGTCGGATCCTTTTTTCATTGGGTTAGATCCAACTGGGATTGGGTTTGAGGAACACCAAATTTTGGAATCCCACCAGGAACCTTCTGGAATTGGGGTTGGATTTTTGGGTTTGAATCCCTTGAAACTGGGTCGGTCGCCTCAAACCCCTCCAACCTCATCCCAAACCCCCCAAATTTTCGGGAATTCCATCCGGGCCGGGGTTACCACTGGGAATGCGGGATCGGTTGTAGGCGGCCATGGAGCTCTGGTTGGATGTTTGGGTTGAAATTCCCTGGAATTGGGTCGGATCCAACTGGGATTGGGTTTGAGGAACACCAAATTTTGGAATTCCACCAGGAACCTTCTGGAATTGAGGTCGGATTTCCCTAAAATTGGGTCGAAATCCCCTAAAATTCGGTTGGATTCAACTGGGATTGGGTTTGAGAAACACCAAAATTTGGGATTCCACCAGGAACCTTCTGGAATTGGGTTGAAATTCCATGGAATTGTGGTCGGATCCAACTGGGATTGGGTTAGATCCAACTGGGATTGGGTTTGAGGGACACCAAACTTTGGAATTCCACCAGGATCCTTCTGGAATTGGGGTCGGATTTCCCTTAAATTGGGTTGAAATCCCATGGAATTGGGGTCGGATCCAACTGGGATTGGGTTTGAGGAACACCAAATTTTGGAATTCCACCAGGAACCTTCTGGAATTTGGTGTAAATTCCATGGAATTGTGGTCGGATCCAACTGGGATTGGGTTTGAGGAACACCAAAGTTTGGGATTCCACCAGGAACCTTCTGGGATTGGGTTGAAATCCTTTGGAATTAGGGTCGGATCCAATTGGGATTGGGTCGGATCCAACTGGGATTGGGTTTGAGGAACACCAAAATTTGGAATTCCACCAGGAACCTTCTGGAATTGGGTTTAAATTCCATGGAATTGTGGTCGGATCCAACTGGGATTGGGTTTGGGGAACCCCAAATTTTGGAATTCCACCAGGAACCTTCTGGAATTGGGGTTGGATTTTTGGGTTTGAATCCCCTGGAATTGGGTCGGATCCAACTGGGATTGGGTTTGAGGAGCACCAAATTTTGGAATTCCACCAGGAAGAACCTTCTGAAATCAGGGTTAAAACTGCTCCAAATTGCTTCAAACCCCTCCAACCTCATCCCAAACCCCCCAAATTTTCCCAAAACCCCCCAAATTTTCGGGAATTCCGTGTGGGATCCGGTTACCGCTGGGAATGCGGGATCGGTTGTAGGCGGCCATGGAGCTCTGGTTGGATGTTTGGGTTGAAATTCCTGGAATTGGGGTCGGATCCAACTGGGATTGGGTTTGAGGAACACCAAATTTGGGATTCCACCAGGAACCTTCTGGAATTGGGTTTAAATTCCATGGAATTGTGGTCGGATCCAACTGGGATTGGGTTTGAGGAACACCAAAATTTGGAATTCCACCAGGAACCTTCTGGAATTGGGTTTAAAACCGCTCCAAATCACCTCAAACCCCTCCAACCTCATCCCAAATCCCCGAAACTTTCCCAAACCCCCCAAATTTTCGGGAATTCCGTGTGGGATCCGGTTACCGCTGGGAATGCGGGATCGGTTGTAGGCGGCCATGGAGCTCTGGTTGGATGTTTGGGTTGAAATTCCTGGAATTGGGTCGGATCCAACTGGGATTGGGTTTGAGGAACACCAAAATTTGGAATTCCACCAGGAACCTTCTGGAATTGGGTTAAAATTCCATGGAATTGGATTTGGATCCAATGAGGATTGGGTTTAATCCAGTTGGGTTGAGTTGGATCCAACTGGGATTGGGTTTGAGGAACACCAAAATTTGGAATTCCACCAGGAACCTTCTGGAATTGGGGTGAAATCATCTGGATTTGGGGTCGGATCCAACTGGGATTGGGTCGGATCCTACTGGGATTGGGTTTGAGGAACACCAAAATTTGGAATTCCAGCAGGAACCTTCTGGAATTGGGTTTAAATTCCATGGAACTGGGGTTGGATCCAACTGGGATTGGGTCAGATCCAACTGGGATTGGGTTGGATCAAGTTTGGATTGGGTTTGAGGAACACAAATTTTGGAATCCCACCAGGAAGAACCTTCTGGAATCAGGGTCGAAACCCCCCGAAATCACTTCAAACCCCTCCAACCTCATCCCAAATCCCCGAAATCTTCCCAAACCCCCCAAATTTTCGGGAATTCCGTCCGGGCCGGGGTTACCGCTGGGAATGCGGGATCGGTTGTGGGCGGCCATGGAGCTCTCCAGGTTCTGCTTGTCGATGGCGAGGTTCTGCAGCGCCCCCTGCGCCTCGAAACTGGCGAATTCCTGGAATTCCGGCAGCCTCCAAACCGTCTCCTCCTTCTCCACGTGGAAAATCTCGTCGCCGTCGAAGTCGAACATGAACTCTTCGCTGTCCGGAGCCGAATCCAGGGATTTCTGGTAGAATTCCGTCTGGATGATGCTGTGCTCCACTGGGGGGGAGAGGTTTTGGGTTAAAATCCTGGGAAATTGGGGTTTGTAATTAAAAATTAAAAATAAATTAGGATTTCTGGTCGAAATCCTGGAGAAATTGAGGATTTGTAATTGAAATTTGAATCCAGGGATTTCTGGTAGAATTCCGTCTGGATGATGCTGTGCTCCACTGGGGGGGAGAGGGTTTGGGTTAAAATCCTGGGAAATTGGGGGTTTGTGTGTAAAATCTGATAAAAATTGAGATTTTGGCTCAAAATCCCGTAGAAATTGCAGATTTCCGCTCAAGATTCCAGGAAAATTGGGGATTTTTAATGAAAATTCCAGGAAAATTGGGGACTTTTGATCAAAATTCCAGGAAAATTTGGGATTTTTAATGAAAATTCCAGGAAAATCGGGGATTTTTGATTAAAATCATGGGAAATTGGGGATTTGTAATTAAAATCCCAGGAAAATTGGTGATTTCTACTCAAAATTCCAGGAAAATTGGGGATTTTAAATGAAAATTCCAGGAAAATTAGGGATTTTAAATGAAAATTCCAGGAAAATCGGGGATTTTTGATTAAAATCACGAGAAATTGGAGATTTGTATGTTAAATCCAGGAAAATTTGGGATTTCTACTCCAAATCCCAGGAAAAATGGGGATTTGTACTTAAAATTCAAGAAAATTGGAGATTTCTACTCAAAATTCCAGGAAAATTTGGGATTTTTAATGAAAATTCCAGGAAAATCGGGGATTTTTGATCAAAATCCCAGGAAAATTGGGAATTTTTGGTCAAAATTCCAGGAAAATTGGGGATTTTTGATCAAAATCATGGGAAATTGGGGATTTCTACTTAAAATCCAAGAAAATTGGAGATTTCTACTCAAAATCCCAGGAAAATTTGGGGATTTGTACTTGAAATCCAAGAAAATTGGAGATTTCTACTCAAAATCCCAGGAAAATGGGGATTTTTTGATCAAAATCATGGGAAATTGGAGATTTCTGTTGAAAATTCCAAGAAAATCGGAGATTTCTACTCAAAATCCCAGGAAAATTGGGGATTTTTGGTCAAAATTCCAGGAAAATTGGGGATTTTTTATGGAAATTCCAGGAAAATTGGGAATGTCTATCAAAATCATGGGAAATTGGGGATTTCTACTTAAAATCCAAGAAAATTTGGCATTTCTACTCAAAATCCCAGGAAAATTGGGAATTTTTGATCAAAATCATGGGAAATTGGAGATTTCTGTTGAAAATTCCAAGAAAATCGGAGATTTCTACTCAAAATTCCAGGAAAATTGGAGATTTCTACTCAAAATTTCAGGAAAATTTGGGATCTGAAAAAAAATCAGGATTTCCACTCAAAATCACAGGAAAATTAGAGATTTCTACTGAAAATCCCAGGAAATTTGGGAAATTTTGATCAAAACTCTTGGAAAATTGGAGATTTTTGATCAAAATCATGGGAAATTGGGGATTTGTACTTGAAATCCAAGAAAATTGGAGATTTCTACTCAAAATCCCAGGAAAATCGGGAATTTTTGATCAAAATCATGGGAAATTGGAGATTTCTGTTGGAAATTCCAAGAAAATTGGAGATTTCTACTCAAAATTCCAGGAAAATTGGGGATTTTAAATGAAAATTCCATGAAAATTGGGAATTTTGATCAAATTCCCAGGAAAATTGGGGATTTTGATTAAAATCATGGGAAATTGGGGATTTCTACTTAAAATCCAAGAAAATTGGAGATTTCTACTCAAAATTCCAGGAAAATTGGGGATTTTTCATCAAAATCATGGGAAAATTTGGGATTTGTAATTAATATTCAAAATAAATCAGGATTTCCGCTCAAAATCCCTGGAAAATTGAGGATTTGTAATTGAAATTTGAATCCAGGGATTTCTGGTAGAATTCCGTCTGGATGATGCTGTGCTCCACTGGGGGGAAGGTTTTGGGTTAAAATCCTGGGAAATTGGGGTTTGTAATTAAAAATTAAAAATAAATTAGGATTTCTGGTTGAAATCACGGAGAAATTCGAGATTTCTGTTGAAAATTCCGAGAAAATTGGAGATTTCTGCTCGAAATTCCAGGAAAATTAGGGATTTTTAATGAAAATTCCGGGAAAATTGGGGATTTTTGATCAAAATCCCAGGAAAATTTGGGATATGAAAAAAAAATCAGGATTTCCACTCAAAATCCTGGGAAAATTGGAGATTTCTACTCAAAATCCCAGGAAAATTGGGGATTTTTGATCCAAATCATGGGAAATTGGAGATTTCTGTTGAAAATTCCAAGAAAATTGGAGATTTCTACTCAAAATTCCAGGAAAATTGGGGATTTAAAATTAAAATTCCAGGAAAATTGGGAATTTTTTATGGAAATTCCAGGAAATTTGGGGATTTTGATTAAAATCATGGGAAATTTGGGATTTCTACTTAAAATCCCAGGGAAATTGGGATTTTTGGTCAAAATTCCAGGAAAATTGGGAATTTCTATCAAAATCATGGGAAATTTGGGATTTGTAATTAAAATCCAAGAAAATTTGGCATTTCTACTCAAAATCTCAGGAAAATTGGGGATGCCTACTTAAAATCCAAGGAAAATTGGGATTTTTGATCAAAATCCCAGGAAAATTTGCGATCTGAAAAAAAATCAGGATTTCCACTCAAAATCCTGGGAAGATTGGGGATTTCGGCTGAAAATTCCAGGAAAATTTGGGATTTTTTATGAAAATTCCAGGAAATTTGGGAATTTTTGATCAAAACTCTGGGAAAATTTGAGATTTCTACTCAAAATCCCAGGAAAATTGGGAATTTTTGATCAAAACTCTTGGAAAATTAGGGATTTTTACTCAAAATCCCAGGAAAGTTGGAGATTCCTCCTGAAAATCCCAGAAAATTGGAGATTTCTACTCCAAATCCCAGGAAAATTGGGGATTTTTGATCAAAATCATGGGAAAATTGGGGATTTGAAATTAATATTCAAAATAAATCAGGATTTCCACTCAAAATCCCGGGAAAATTGGGGATTTGTAATTGAAATTTGAATCCAGGGATTTCTGGTAGAATTCCGTCTGGATGATGCTGTGCTCCACTGGGGGGGAGAGGTTTTGGGTTAAAATCCTGGGAAATTGGGGTTTGTAATTAAAAATTAAAAATAATTTTGGATAAAATTGGAGATTTCTGTTGAAAATTCCAAGAAAATTGGAGATTTCTGCTCGAAATTCCAGGAAAATTTGGGATTTTAAATGAAAATTCCAGGAAATTTGGGAATTTTTAATGAAAGTCCCAGGAAAATTGGGAATTTTTATCAAAATCATGGGAAATTGGGGATTTGTACTTGAAATCCATGAAAATCGGAGATTTCTACTCAAAGTCCCAGGAAAATTGGGGATTTTTGGTCAAAATTCCAGGAAATTGAGGATTTTGATCAAAATCATGGGAAATTCGGGATTTCTACTTAAAATCTAAGAAAATTTGGGATTTCTTCTCAAAATTCCAGGAAAAATGGGAATTTTTGATCAAAATCATGGGAAATTGGAGATTTCTGTTGAAAATTCCAAGAAAATCGGAGATTTCTACTCAAAATTCCAGGAAAATTGGGAATTTTTAATGAAAATTCCAGGAAAATTGGGGATTTTTGATCAAAATCCCAGGAAAATTTGGGATCTGAAAAGAAATCAGGATTTCCACTCAAAATCACAGGAAAATTTGAGATTTCTACTCAAAATCCCAGGAAAATTGGGAATTTTTGATCAAAATCATGGGAAATTGGAGATTTGTACTGAAAATCCAAGAAAATCGGAGATTTCTACTCAAAATTCCAGGAAAATTTGGGATTTTTAATGAAAATTCCAGGAAAATTGGGGACTTTTGATCAAAATCCCAGGAAAATTTGGGATATGAAAAAAAATCAGGATTTCCACTCAAAATCCCAGGAAAAGTGGAGATTTCTACTCAAAATCCCAGGAAAATTGGGGATTTTTAATGAAAATTCCAGGAAAATTGGGGATTTTTATCAAAATCATGGGAAATTGGGGATTTGTAATTAAAATCCCAGGAAAATTGGTGATTTCTACTCAAAATTCCAGGAAAATTTGGGATTTTTGGTCAAAATTACAGGAAAATTGGGGATTTTTAATGAAAATTCCAGGAAAATTGGGGATTTTTGATCAAAATCATGGGAAATTCGGGATTTGTACTTAAAATCCAAGAAAATTCAGCATTTCTACTCAAAATCTCAGGAAAATTGGGGATTCCTACTTAAAATCCCAGGAAAATTGGGATTTTTGGTCAAAATCCCTGGAAAATTGGGGATTTCAGCTGAAAATCCTGGGAATTTTGGGACTTTCTTCTCAAAATCCCAGAAAATTGAGGATTTCTACTCAAAATTCTGGGAAAATTTGGGATTTTTTTCTCAAAATCCCAGGAAATTCAAGATTTCTACTAAAAATCCCAGGAAAAATAAGGATTTTTACTAAAAATCCTAGGAAAAATCAGGATTTTTTACTCCAAATCCCAGGAAAAATCAGGATTTTTTTTCTCAAAATTCCCAGAAAATTCAGGATTTTTTCTCAAAATTCCCAGAAAAATCAGGATTTTCACTCCAAATCCCAGGAAAATTGAGGCTGAGGACACCGAGAGCCCCAAAATTCCGGAAAATCGGAATTTAGGCCCTCCCAGACCCCCAAAATTTTGGGATCAGGAGAATTTGGGAGGCCCCAGACCCCAAAAATTTGGAAAGAAAAGAGGAAATTTGGGCTGACCCAGCCCCGAAATTCCGGGAAAAGAGGATGTGAGAAAAACCCAGTTCCCCAAATTTTGGGAACGGGGGGGTTGGGAACACCCAGACCCCAAAAATCCACAAAAAATCGGATTTTTGGGAACACCAAACTCTGAAAATCCTGGAAAATTTGGATTTAGGCACTTCCAGATCCCCAAAATTGTGGAAAAATTGGGATTTGGGAATTCTCAGTTCCCCAAATTTTGGGTACAGGGGGGTTGGGCACTCCCAGACC